CGCGAAGTCGTCAATGTATGGCAGGATGCGGTACCCGAGGCGCTCCCGCAAGTGCTTCACCAAAGGACGGAGCAGCTTGGTGAACCACAGAACAGAGCGCCCCCAGCCGAACGGTAGCACGATGCAACGGTAGTACCGACCGTTGTATCGGAAGAGGAAAAAGTCTCTCATGCGAGGATGGAGATAAAAGTGGCGGTACCCACTTTTGATATCCCAGAACATCAGCACATCTCCCTCCTGCAGTTGAAACGCGAAGGACTGTAATGTCTCCATCTTGACTGACCCCTTCGGCCAGTGCTTGCTCTGCCGCTTGAAATTAATTACAAATCTTCCTTTGCGGTCCTCGTCCTCGCCTTGACAGACCGTGAAGGCTGACGAGATCATCCTGCCCCCTCTCGCAAGGGCCTCGGTCTCCTCAAACCCTACCTCCTCTTACACCCCCTCCCTGCAACCCCTTGCCAGGTCCTCCGTGGCAAACTGCCTGTCCTCCGCCGTCTGAGGGAGCTCGCTGAGTACAGTACCGTCCTCGAAGGGCACCGTCGGCATGTCCAATACACCGTACCGGATCTGACGGGCGATGTACTCGTTGACTCCTAACTCCGAACGCAAAACGTCCGCCCTGAGAGCCGTCCCCTGCCACAAAGGTGCTCCCCCCTTACCCTTCGTAGCGTTTCCATCTCTTTTTAGGCACATTACTCCGGGCTGGACCCGTCCCCGGCGGAGGGTCCAGCGTTCTTCATGCCAGTAGTCTTCTCTAACCTGGCCTTGGCAATCATCTTTGCAGCCTGAATCTCCAACTTAGAAGTGAGCGCCTCGCGGGCAGACTTGTATGAATCTGAAAACAAAGCGTCGTGCCCTTGTTCCACGAGGAATGCCATCTGGCGAGCTGCCTCGACTCCTTGGTCGGTGATGTCCCTGAAATACTGCGCGCGCATAGACAGTACCTCGAGGGCGGCATGGATAGACTTTTCAGCCAAGGCCAGTTTCCTTGCCTTGCTCGGAACGTCCTCGCTCTGATCCTTAGCAACTATGAGAGTGGAGAGTCCCATTTCGGTCCAAACGCCAGCAGCGTCTACGTATTCCCATTCCTTGGCCGAGCGTCGGTCCCTGGACCGCAACTCGGAGACGAAAGCGTCAGCAGCAGGCTTGAAGTAACCCATGCCGGTGACGGGTACATGGGGGCCACGCTCAAACACACTTCCTTCTACAACTAACTTGAGGGAGCTGAGCTCCGCGACAACATCTCCATAATCTCGACGCGCGGGGACGGCACTCTCCCACGCCGCTCGCACAGCTAGCGCAGGGCGCGCCACAGCTGCGACAGCCGGAGGCGTGGGGGCCCGGGGCACCGGCGCGCCGATGTCGGCGGGTTGTTCGGGTTGTACGCTCATAGGTCCAAAGTAATCTGTTTGTACTTACAAGAATATGTCACCGCCTAGGCTGAGGGGAATTTCTCAAGCAAGAGAAATAGACATGGCCAGGAGAGGGGGGCTGGCAAGAGGCTCACGATGGCGTCATATGTACCACGGAACAGCGAGGCTGCGAGATGAGGTACGCTCGGTTGGCTGATAGTAATTACAGCCACTCGCTATTCTCCGGGGAGTTTCACCCCTACACACGCTAGCGTGTACAGAGACGCGTACAGTACTAGGTCATAAGTGCAAATGGGCGACGAGTGCTCAAAGGCTTAGTGATGGTGCATTTAACATGCCATAATCGTACAGACTAGGTGCTCATCAGGTGATATACCGTCATCAAATTTACTCATATCCTTCTAAAATGATGACTAAGTCATAAAAAGACAAAGTAATTACGCAAAGCCGACAACACTGCCAAACGCCGCCGGGTTAACCTTACAACTGTAGATCGTCATAGCTTGGCTGGCGATCTGGGTACTGCGGAACGGTAGACGCGAGAAACATTACATTCATACGACGCTGTCGTTTTTCGCGATAATTGCGCTACACAGTACGTCTCTTTTCATGTCGGGACACCCGAACAGAGTACCAAATATTAGCAATTTGCCTAAACATCGCCCCATCATCAGCCCGCAATGGATTGCAGTTGACCTGAAAATTTGTCAGTGCGACACACAAGTGAAAAACACTGTCGTACCTAGCTTCCGCCCATTTCCACGTTTTTCCAAGCACTGTCCATGCCCCACAAAGCCGCCTGAAATAATTCTCCACGGTGATACGATCTCTTGAAATGTGCCGATTTGTTGAAACTTGAGCAGGGGATACAGCACCATTGTGGAGTTTTTTGCTGGGATGCACAACTCTGGAAAACTCGGCACTGCCTTAGTAACCCTTGTCAGCGAGTACTGCCCAAGCGTCCTTAAATTCTTCGCCCCAAGGCCCATCGTCTTCCAATGTGTCTTCGTCGTTTTGCTTTTGCAAATTGGTTCGGTGCCACCGTTGCTTCTGTTGAAACATAACGAGGTCAGAGACAGACCCATGCTCATGATCACTGCATCCAAGGGCTAGTCGAATTTGCAAGACGGAGACCTCCACCTTATAGCCGTACATCTTCTGCTTTCCGCTATGATAGTGCTTACCCTCTTGTACGCTTCCGGAAGGGCGAACGGAAGGTTGAAACGTCACATCAGCGTATCGCGGCATAGGGTAGTGAGGAAAACACTTTTTCTTTGCCACGAGCTCCTTCATCGTCCACTGTTTGCATAATACTCCACGTATGATTCGTAAAACGCATCGCAAACGACATCAACCAAATTCAAAATCATGCGCTCCATGGTGGGAACTTTGAAATTTAACATGTTTCCAAGAAATGCCCAGTCACCGCCATGTTTCATGACAGTCATCGTCATAAACAACATTTCTTTGGCCGTGACTGTGCTCTTCCGACCACGACCAGTGTTGTAATGATCGAGAATGAAATTTTCAAAGCCAGCCCATATGCCTTGGAATTGCAAGGGGTCGAAGTTGACCATTTCGACGATACCTTGCGAGCCGTGGGCGTTGTAGTACTGATCGAAAACCGGTGCATCCGTGCCATTATCGTCATCAGAGGGAGGATGAATCGGGTCAGTGTTGTTTGGCAATTCATTTTGACGCTCGAAGGCGAGCTCCGCAAGAATTTGTAAGGAATTCTTTGCTCTTTCGACGGTAAGTGAGGCCATATTTTGAGGGGGATTTGGAGTGGGGGGTAGGAGGGATGAAGAGTTGGGGTGGGAGGGATGGGGAGTTGCGAACGTGATGGCCTTTGTTGGGTGTCGGGTTTTGGCGGGGAAGCCCACATGTTGCGCATTTTGGGCGCCATTTCCGATCGTTTTTTTTTGAGAATTACGTAGCTGCGCAATACGGGTCATCTCTGAAATTTGCCACGTAGTTGCGCACTACTGTGTCCAATTGCAACATATCATGCATTTGTTGAAAATAACAGTAAATGTTGATACACCTCGGCATAACTGTTTTAGGATTATTTTTTTTGCAAACGATTGGCTCTTTCAGGAGTACCCGGATATTTGTGACAAAGCTATAATAGAATTCTGTCACAAATATCCGATGTAAACCTTGTACTGTACCACCGTCCTACAGTAAGCAATGTCGTTGTGATCATACTATCCAGGTGCCGGCCCACATCTCCCAGCTGCTTGGCACCATTGGCTAATAACCGAGCGACAGGAACCCGGATTTAGCGGTAAATTCGAAAGGGCGGGAGCGAATGTGCGGTATAACAGCAATATTAAACACGATATTTGTGCCAGCATGCTATATTTGGCCTCCCCCCCCCAACCCAGTACAGTACAAAAAAAGGGCTCTGTAATGCATCTCCGTGCGGAAGCGAACCAGCCCCGCTGCAGAGGCGAATGACCATAAATTCACGTTGGAATGAAGCTGAATTTTCGGACAGAGCCCAAAAATCTCAGGCAAACGGATCTCCCCGAAACGCCCCCAAAAACAGGCGTAATGCAGCGATGACGCTCTTCCCAGGGGCTCAACCACATAACCGCCACCAAAACCCCACAGAGCCACTGCCCTTCGCAGTCTTGCGTGAGCGCCGCGCGAATCTGGCCGTGACCACGGCCATGCGTTGGCTAACTGCTGTCGACGACATTACCTTGACGTCCGACGAAAATGGGGTCTTAAGTATGTTAAGCAAAGCGCATGTTGGCGCGGTGACGTCACTGCGAGGTTATCCTCGGGAGAGGCTCTACGTTGTGATGTCATAAACAAAAAGAAGTGGAGGGCAGTGGGGTTCTTTGTGAGACTAGCTCATCGTCCTGCATTGTGAACTCAGATTTTGCGAAACAACGCAGTCGAGCTGCGACGAGCTACAGTTGTACTGTACATGTGCGACAGACCTTGCTACCAGACAGACCTTGCTGGTGGCGTGTCGTGGTGCTGGTCCCGGGCGCGGCACGGAGAGGGAGAGGGAGAGGGAAAAGGGAGGGAAAAGGGAGAGGGAAAAGAGAGAGGATGAAAGAGAGAGGGAGTTGCCCTGTTGTACAGGAATATGTTGTACCAGCACGCGCAGTACCTCACGAGTCATGGCTCGTGCATGTTGCTTTCTTGGCATCGACGTAGTGGGGAAGCAGGGAGAGCCGAGTGCCAACAGACCAGCCGGACTGTGCACTGAAGCGCAGCGCCAGATTTCCGACACCTCTTCTTCAGGGTTCGTGGTTTGGCAGGCTGGTGTACACCCGGTTGTCTAGCCAGTTTCCAAATAGGATGTCTACGGTTTATAGTCTGGTCAGCTATACGTACGGTATGGACAGAATGCATAGTTGGATATCGCACACTGAGCTGCCTCTACCCAAGGGTACCAAGGGTAGCTAGCGTGCAGTTCGAAGGTGTGTATCCTACGTGGGAGTGCAGCAGCACGGGAGACGCCCAGCGCCCAGTGGGAGACTCCTGAAATTCTAAAAATCGCATGTCCTCATCAGGCAGCCGAACTGCAGCTTGGAATCACATTTTCGTTACGTCTTTCGAAAATAATGTGCCAAAAGCAACCGGATCACATGCTGTACTAGCACAGCAATGCATCATTTACGCCACCGCCCGCCGGCGACCCGGAAATGCGCCCCTCTACCGTCCCCGTTCCCCGTCGCACTGCCAACACGTCTTCGCCCCACTCCCTCTCACTCCGCCGACCTCGCTGTGACCCCAGCCATGTCACCCGGGCAGCCGCGCCCCGATCGCGCCCTCAAGCGGCGCCGCACCTCGTACGACGAGCTTGAGACGGTCAAGCACGCCAGCCACACGGGCGACGCGCTCACCTCGCCGGCCCTTTCCGCCGCCCTTTCCGACCTGCTGCAGGCCCGCCGCCTGTCCGACGCGGCGCGCGCCGGCATCGAGGATGCCCTCAAGAAGGTAAAAAAATCCCTGGACGCCCTACCGAAGAAGAAGACCCTGCAGCTCGACAGCCCCGCCGTAAGAAATGTCCTCCGGAAGGTCGCAAAAGGGAGGAGGGACTCTCTGTGCCGCTCGGGCGTAGTTCAGGAGCTCGTCTGCACGCCACCGGGGAGAGTCGATCTTGTCGGCTCGTTCCTGCTGAAATGCGCGACGAAACCGGTCGTCGATGTGGCTGTGGAAATGCCCGCCGATCTTTTCCAGACCAGGGACTATCGTGCCTATCGGTATCATGACAAGCGATTGCTTTATCTCGTCTATCTCGCGCGCCAGTTTGTGAAGACGGAGGAGGAGGCGTACGCCGAGGTGTCGCTCGTCATGTCGTTTCTCAACGGCGACGAGGCGAAGCCCGTCTTGTGCGTCACGCATGTCGACCATCCTGAGGTCAACGTCCGCCTCCTGCCGACCTACCCTCATGACGTGTTCGCCAACCACCATCTAGGCGAGGAGAAAGTCCACATCCGCGAAGGCCCCGACTCCGAGAATGCAAAGCCTTCGCCAGCCACCATTGCCTACAACGCTTCTATTTTGATCGACACAACTCTGGTTGCAAATCTTCAGGCGCTTTATGCTGTCGTGGCCGGTGCACCCGCTTTCGCTGACACTGTGATGCTGCTCGAGGCGTGGTGCGTCCGGCACAGGCTGTACAAGTCCAACTTTGTCAGTATTGCGCTATTGGCAAACTTGATCAAAAAGGGGGCAGCTCCGTCCCGGGCGCCGAGAGAGCAATTATTTCGCTGCGCGCTCAGCGCTATCTCAGCGGGGGGGTTGAAAGCTTTGCGATTGGGGGATATGCGTGTGTGCGCTTCGTTTGATGCAGGATTTTTGGAGAGGTGCGCAGAATGTGCTACCATGGCTATTTATGTGATCGAGAGCAAGGCGGCAGAAACGGATCCGTGGGTGGGCATCTTACCATTTCTGTTTACGCAGGCTCGCGGCTCCAAATGTGTTGCCCGGCCCTTGTGCACGCTATTTGATGGCTTTGTGAAGATTTTGGGTGGGAACGAAGCGAGTTCTGCACTGACGGCCCAGAAACATTTGCATGTGCTGAAACGTGCGCTTGTAGATACTCATCGTGCAAAGAGAATCGAACGCCTGGAAGGTGGATTGTTTGGTTTCACGCTTTCATTGGCGAAAGATGCGAATCGCAGGGTGGACATGCGGCCAGAGTCATGGGATGCGCCCTCGTTCATGGCGTTTTGGGGCAAGAAGGCAAATGTCCGAAGTTTCGAGAATGGGAAAATTGTAGAAGCATTAGTTTGGAGTGGTGGCAGTCGAACACTCCAAGAAATGACATCATATGCGTTTGAGAAGCATTTCGGAGATGATGTCAAGGTGCAGGTAATACTGGGTGATCTTGAGGAGGCGTCTGGTTCTGACGCGCATTATGAAGCCAGTGCAACTCGTGCAATTGCTGGGTTTAACGAACTGGCCAAGCTACTCCGGTCGTTGGAAGGCGTTGTATTGGGCATTCGAGGAGTTCATGCTACATCGTCTCATCTCAGAAGATGCGGAATTCCGTCAAAAGGATTTGCGCAAACTGGCGGTATTCGCCATGCTTACCCGCTGGACATCGTGGCGACGTTTGAGACATCTGCAGCATGGCCAGATAACCCAGTGGCGATTTGTGCGGCGAAGGCCTCGTTTTACGTTTCGTTGAAGGGGGCTCTTGCGGAAAAAGGGATTGCTTCAAATTCCACAATCTCTTTTCTAGACATCACACTATCAGAATTTGTATATCGGTTGCGTATTAAGGTTGACAAAGAGAAGGATCTCCTTATTGATAGCCCTGCAACTTACGAAGGTGTGGTGTGGGAAACAGAGAAGCGAGTGCGACACCACGACAACATGTCATGTCTAGGAAATCCATTGATAGGAAGCGTGGCGAGAATGGCCAAGAAATGGCTGAACAGCCATTTGATGCTGTCGCAGATGGGGTCAAGAGGAGAGGAACTTGTGGAAGTGCTGGTAGCCAGTATGATGTTGCGGCCCGAAGTCTCGAAACGGAAGTCGGTGTTGGGATACTTTTGCCAGTTTTTGCATTTTCTTTCAGACTTTCCGTGGGAAGTTTGTCCTCTAGCAGTACTGATGGAAGATGAGGAGGCAAGGGAGTTGTCGAAGGACATGAGTGACAGACTTGAAGAAGTTGAGACGTTTCGCGAACGGGTGCAGGATCGGTTTTCCAGGAAATGCGATGGGCGAACGTTTTTCTCAGTGTACAATGTATGGGACAGAGATGAGAATGAGGCTGGAACGTTTTTCGGTCAAGGATATGGTCCGGAAACGTCGATCGCCAAAATGATTGTTGCGTCCGCTGGGTCAGCGCTGCGGCACATTGAAGACAGCGTGACAAAGGCGGGTGCAGGCAAGACAATGAAGTCGTTATTTACACCGTACCTGGGTGTGTACGACCTGGTGCTTGAGCTGAACAGAGAGCTGGTGCCATTCCGCGAGGAGGCTAGCCGGAAGGGACCGTTCCACGGACGCGGGTCTGCGTTTGTTGGGTTCGACACGGTGCAGATGCTGCGGAACAAGCTGGAGATCAGGCTTGGAGAGTTTGCACTGTTTACTACTGAAGTGTGTGTGCGGGCCGAGATCTATGTGGTGTGGCGGCCGGAGGCGTCGGGTAGTTGCGCATTCTCTCTTGCTCGGGCGCCGTTTCGAGAACCTGTCGGCGAGACCAAGACTCTGAAGGCGGATCGGATGGAGATGGTGGCGGAGATGGTTAGTCTCGGGAAAGGGCTGATTCGGAATGTTCGTTACATCGAAAAGGAGGGCGGGAAGTGAATGCGAGGGTAGAAGTACAGTAATGAGCATTGCACTTGATGGATTACCCCTTGGGTACTGTACAAGAGGATAAATGGGTGATACAGTACAGTAGGGCGAGGGAGAGGAATGGTTTGAGAAGCGGCACGTGTATACTGTACGACAGGAGGGCGCGTGTCA